GATTGCTCCCAAAAGTCCAATATCCAAATAAAAGGAGTTTCAGATACGACAAAATAATGGAAGGGAAGAAATTATAATTACATGTGAAAAAATGTCCCCAAAATAAAGGCCACATGGTTTTACATAAAAGAGTTCACTAAGTACTTAGCACCTTGAGTAGAAAAAGACTCACTTGAAGGTACATCACTGTGAAATAAGAGAACCCTAGGTAAAAACCTAGGTAAAAGCTTCCAGAGAGAAAAACAGATTATACATTATTAGGAGTCAGAAACAGCAACAATGTAATATAGAAAACAAGAGCAATTACTTCAAAGAAATTATTTTCAATGTAGAATTATATATCCAGCCAAATGTTTAATAAAGTGTGATAGAATAAAGGCTTTAAGACATACAAGGCCCCCTAACATTTACATCCCATGCATCCTTTCTTAGGGAATTATTGAAGGATGTACTCCCCCAAGATAAGAGAAGAAATCAGAAAAGTAAAAAGATAGGGAATCTAGGAAACAGGATAATAGTTGTGTAGCAATCCAAAGAGCCGCTAGTCAAAACTGGAACAGGAGGATGGAAGCCCCTAAAGAGAGAATTGTAGGAATAAATATGAAACTGATCAATTAGCTGATGGATCTGAACATATGGAGGGGAGATTCACGGTTCTGTTAAAGAGTTTGGGGGCGAAATAATAAAAGGTACATAGAAAACAAAGCAAACAAAAATTTGTTATGGTTAGTGCCTTCCAGTCTTTTTCTGCCATCCTCTTACCTTCTAGCACTATGTTAGACATTGCTCTGCTGCTCGTCATAGGGTTTTCGTGGCCAGTTTTTTGGAAGTGGGTGGCCAGGTTCTTCTTCCTAGTCTGTCTTGGTCTAGAATCTCTGCTAAAACCTGTCCGCCATGGGTGACCTTGCTGGTATTTGAAATATCGGTCGCATAGCTTTCAGCATCACAGCAACATGCAGCCGCCACGGTGTGATAACTGACAGATGGGTGGCGTGGTCCCCTGCCTAGGAAATGAACCCAGGCCTCAGTGGTGAGAGTCGAATCTTAACTATTAGACCACCAATAAGGGAGTTAGGATGAAATTTTTGGGGTTGAGGCTCAGAATAGAAACCCTCTTATATCACTACACCATTAAGACCTCTCGAAGAACCAACTCTTTGTTTCATTGATCCTTTCTATTGTCTTTTTTGTTTCAATATCGTTTATTTCTGCTCTTATTTTTATTATTTCCCTCCTTCTACTGACTCTGGGCCTTGTTTGTTCTTCTTTTTCTAGTTCTGTTAGGTGTCGTTTGAGGTTGCTTACGTGAGCTTTTTCTTGTTTAGTGAGGTGAGCCTGTATTGCGATGAATTTCCCTCTTAGGACTGCTTTTGCTGCATCCCAAATGGTTTGGTATGTCGTGTTCTCATTTTCATTTGTCTCCAGATAATATTTGATTTCTTCTTTAATTTCTTCAATGATCCATTGTTTGTTGAGAAGCGTGTTGTTTAGTCTCCACATTTTTGCACCTTTCTCTGCTTTTTTCTTGTAGTTGATTTCTAGTTTAATAGCGTTATGATCAGAAAAGATGCTTGATATTATTTCAACTCTCTTGTATTTATTGATGTTTGCTTTGGTTCCCAAAATATGGTCAATCCTTGAGAATGTTCCATGTGCACTTGAGAAGAATGTGTAACCTGCTGTTTTTGGATGAAGTGTTCTATATATATCTATTAAGTCCATCTGGTCTAATTTTTCATTTAATTCTATTATTTCCTTGTTGATTTTCTGTCTGGATGTTCTGTCCATTGGTGTTAATGGTGTGTTGAGGTCCCCTACTATTACCATTAAGACCTCTCAAATAGAATTTTTGTGCAAATTAGAAACCAGAAGTAGGCGAGAGTACAGTTATGCATCGCTTAATGATGAGGATACGTTCTGAGAAATGTGTTGTTAACTGATTTAGTCATTGTGCAAACATAGAGTGTACTGAAGGGAAACAAAATTTGCCACCCCAAAAATGTTTCTCTTTGACATGAGGATTATTTTAGGTAGATTATTTTTAAGAAACAAAAGACTCAAAGTTTTCCTTGATACCTCCCCCTTAACCACCTAAAAGAATTCAGATTAAAAAAACCTGTCTCACGGGGGCAGGCCCAGTGGCATAGTGGTTAAGTTCACATGCTCCACTTCAGCAGCCCGGGGTTCATGGGTTCCAATTCGGGGTGTGGACTTACACATCACTCATCAAACCATGCTGTGGTGGCATCCCACATATGAAATGGATGAAGATTGGCACAGATGTTAGCTCAGTCAGCTCACCAAAAAAAACCTGTTTCAGAAAGCAGGCTCTCACCTTAGCATCACATGAACTAGGTGGTGGACAGGGAGAAAGCTAGAAAAGCCTGTTTGTTGGGCTCCCTTCTGTGTTCTTTTGTTTCTGTGCAGCCAAACACTTGTTTTCCAAACATTTTCTCCCTTCCACCTACCTGTGAATTACCTTCCTTCCCTTTGAAGTCCCTGACTCTCCCCACCCCAACGTCTTCTTTTGTCTTTAGCTGAAAATGGTATTCAAGGTGGGGGCTTTGGCCATTTTGGGCAGTTCCTCAGTTTTCCTGGGTTTCTCCCACGTATAAATGTTATTAAACTTTTGGGGTTTTTTTCTCCTGTTAATCTGTTTCATGTCAATTTAATTCCTAAACCAGCCAGAGGAACCTAGAAGGACAGAGGAAAATTTCTTTCACCCTGTAGTACCTACATGGTGTAGCCTATTACACACCTAGGGTATCTGGTACTGAACTTATGGGACCATCGTCATATATGTGATTATTTTCAAAAAGGGAATTAACAACTAGTTCAAACAGTCCATTTGGGATGGACTAAGCATTAGGCAGTTTAAAAAGACAGATGTAGCCAACTGTAAAGGCTTTAACTCAAGTGCTTAAGGAGGTAAACCGATTGATAGCTACAAGAAGATATTCCCATCTGATGTGTTACCTTCTAAGCCAAGGTGTATCTTACAGATAATCAGATGTCTTCAAATATTTGTTTAGGGCTGCCTCCTGGCCCATCACCTTTCACATGGGCAATTCTTCCTGTAGAAAACAGCAGCTTAATTACTGTCTTGCTTCTCCTCAGGGCTATGAATGTGCCTCCTAATTCTGACGGAGGAAAGCCTGGACACAGGTGAGGCAATTAAAAGGCTTCCCAATTCTCGTGGCTGCAATTCCTGCAATCATACCAAAGAATCTTGGCTGGCACTTGTAGCAATGAGATTAAATTGTATAAAGACTTTTTTGGGGATTGCATAGTAGAAAGGCTGTAAAAGAAAACCCTTACCGATTATGCCTTTTGCTCTAGAGGAGCAATGTCCACTAACCATAAGTAGCTATTGAGCACTTAAAATATGGGTAGGCTAAATTGAGATGTGCTATAAGTACAAAGGATTTTGAAGACTTAATATGAAAAAAAGGAATATAAAATATCTTGGTAAGTTTTAATGCGTACATGAATTGACAGTATTTCGGATATACTGAGTGAAATATGTTAAAATTAATTTCTCCTGTTTTTAGTTTTTTAATGTGGCTACAAGGACATTTGAAATTACATAGGTAGCTCACATATTTTTGGGGGGACAGTCCTGCTAGAATATTCTTAACAAGAACCAATGACCAATTGGACATCCACGTGCAAAAAACTGAATCTAGACACAAACACATACCTTTGACAAAACTAACTCAAAATGGTTCACAGACCTAAATGTAAAATGCAAAACTAAAAAACTCCTAAAAGATAACATAGGAGAAAATCGAGATGACAATGGATTTGGTGATGACTTTTTAGATACAACACCAAAGGCACAAGCCATGAAAGTAATTGGTAAGTTGGACCTCAATAAAATTAAAAACTTCTGCTCTGCAAAAGATGCTCAAGAGAAGACAAACCACCAACTGGGAAAAAATATTTGTAAAGCACATATCTGATAAAGGACTGTTATCTAAAATACACAAAGAACTCTCAATAAGAAAACGAACAACCCAATTAAAAAAGGGGCAAAAGGTCTTAACAGACACCTCATCAGATATACCCTTGGTAAGTAAGCATATGAAAAGATGCGCAACATCCTGTCATCGGGGAAAGGCAATTTAAAACAAGATACCACTACACACCTACCAGAATAGCCAAAATCCAAAACACTGACACTACCAAATGTTGACAAGGATGTGGAGCAACAGAACTCTCATTCATTGCTGGTGGGAACGCAAAATGATACAGCCACCTTGTAAGACAGTTTGGTTTCTTATAAAACTAAACACTCTCACCACATGACCCAGCAATTGTGTTCCTTGTTATTTATCCAAATGAGCTGAAAACTTATGTCCATGTAAAAACGTGCATGCATATGCTTATAGGAACTTTATTCATTATCGCCAAAATTTGGAAGCAATGCAGATGTCCTTCGAAGGCAAATGGATAAACTATCTTACATTCAGATAATGGAATACTAACCAGCACTAGAAAGAAATGAGTTATCAAGCCATGAAAAGACATGGAGGAACCTTAAATGTATATTATTAAGTGAAAGAAGCCAATCTGAAAAGGCTACATACTTCTGATTGCAACTACATGATGGAGACATTAAAAAGATCAGTGGTTGCCAGAGGTTAACGGGGAGAGAGGACAAAGAGGATTTTCAGGGCAGTAAAACCCTTCTATGTGGCACTATAATGGTGGATACGTGTCATTCTACATTTGTGCAAACCCACAGAACATACACCACCAAGAGTAAATCTTAATCTAAACTACGGACTCCAGGTGACAATGATGTGTTGGTGTAGCCTCATCATTTGTAACAAGCGTACTCCTCTGGTGGGGGATGGTGACAGTCCGGGAAGCTGTGCCGGGGTGGGGGACAGATGCGCAGACAGGGACTATATGGGAACTCTGTACTTTCCGCTCAATTTTGCTGTGAACCTAAAACTACTCTAAAAAAATAAAATCTATTTAAAAAAAATGACAACTCAGTGTTCAAGCACTTTATTAAATCAGATAAGAAATCTCCACAATGTTACACATACCAGATTGTATACAACTATAAGGGCATATCACTTGTTTATAAAGATACAGCTGAGCCGTACGATGGCAGGTCTAATAAGCCATCTCTAGCCAACTAAAATTTAAGAGGAAACACAGTAAAGGTCATGCAAGTTCTAGAATAGTGAATCATGACAGAGCTCACTCATTTTATCCTTTACCTTCAAAATGCACATGATATCTATAGGCAGAAAAAATCTGAAGACTAGCAGGTTGTCACTAGTGAGCTATACATTTCATTCAGGAATATAAGCCTCTTACCATTTACTGGGTCGTCTGATTGTTAATCACTCAACCCTGACCACAGAAAAGAGTTTTTAGAGATTTACTGCTGTAAAATATATGCCTGTTATTCATACTATGCCTTGAAGTCATTCAGCTTTCATTAAAGTATGATGAAGCAAGATGCCCAAACTAGGAATCCCAGCTATGAACTGATCACTTAGCTGCACTCAACATCAGTTCAAGATAAAACACTGTGAAGACTAAAGAGACAGTAGTGAAACAATTCAGTGAGGCTGTAATAACCTAGATCTATTTTAATTTAGGTAAGTAACACTAAGTACTAGAAAATAAAGTCTTTACTCCTGTAGCCTCAAACTTATTTGTTCACAGCTACATTTAAACTTACGATCACCATATACTAACGGGTAGGTAGACATGATCAAAGATCCTGTGGCAAGCTTCACCTCCCTACACCCCTCGCTCCCCCCTCCCCGCAAGCCTCCTATACAAGTTTCCCCTGCTTTAAGCTAAAAGGTCAATTTTGGATTTAAACTTGTATGAACTAAGTTTATAGGAGCTAACATGCAAATAAAGGGATAAAGTTAAATTCATTTGCCAAGAGCAAACATTATAAATGTATGCTACTATCCTGCTAAACAGAAGACCCAGAGAAACCACAAATATAACAAACACTGCGTTAGGTTTCAGAACAAAGAATCTTGAAGGAAGTAATTTTATCTTAGAGTGCTAGAATTTACCCACCAAATGCTATTGACCACAAAATGTTTCTGCAACTAAAACTAAAAGATAAGAGAATTATAGGGAGCTGGGAATACATGTTAGATACTAACGATCTTCAAGCTTTGAAGATGTCATTGCATGAAGAAAATTATGGGAAACACTGTTCCCGATAATTATGTACACCCTTAGTGTAACATATGGAGATCACTGTCTCCGATATAGACACTGTGGTAGGCAAAAACTACCTTGTTCTTTATACATTATGGAAGACACTGCTCCCGATAATGTGAGTTAGGTTTGTGACAAAGGTACTGGAAATTTTGCAAAATTTGAATTAGTTACACCTTGGATAAATTGAGCTGTAACACATATGGGTATTATCACAGCCTGTAAGTGACATTAATTTATAACTTGATCACAATTCATTGCATTTAGGAGAACTGCCATTTTTATCTGGTTGGGTAAACAGAAGTCTAACTTGATTAGCAACCCCTAATTAAATTTAATCTTCTCCAACGCTTAGAGCTTTATAATTTTATTTAGCTTGCGGCTGTTTTCTAAAACCCTCAAGTGTTGACCATAAATGCAAAACTTCCAGTATCTGTTGGGTTTTATTAGCAGATGCTGCTTTTATTAAAAAAAAACGACAGTATAACTGTCATAATTATGGAAGGCACTGCTTCCGATAATTATCTTCTATAAAAAAAACACCATTTATAGTGAACTCTGTCACTGATAAATAAACAATAAATATCTCAGTGCCAAAATGATAGAAAGCTTTTCCAAAAAATTAACACTTTGGCCAAAATTTGGCAGTGTGTTCTTTAAAGTCCAACAAACTGAGTTTGAAATTAAACACCTAAAACTGGTTATTTCAAAATACTTTGGAAAAAAAGAAAACAATAAAAAACTAAACAAAGGCTTATGGGGCAGGGGACAGAGAAAAAGAAAATATACTAAGTCTTTGGCTTCTGGTCTCCTCTTTTCATAAACAATCTTGAAGTTAACATATTAAGGCCTTACTCCTGCGATAAACAGTTGAACCTCAATTTATCCAGCTGAAGGACCTCTATTTCATACCTCACTGGCAAGAACACAAGTCCCATCTCTTCTGAAAGTTAACTGTTTCACGCAGGAACGTGGAAACCAGCTAAATCCTTAAAGGAAGGAATACATCTCACTTGGAGAATCAGGTCTTACAACCTGCTATCTCCTATCGAGCGTCAAATGAGGGTGGAGGATCACAGGGAGCCAACACTCAACCTTCAGCAGTTACTGCCTCCCTCCTCCCGCTCATGAGATGCCAGTTCACATCCTCAGGACTTGGAGCAATGGTTCACGCCACTGGCTCTGACTTTTTCATAACTTTAACAGGAAAGAGGCCGTTACCATTACAAAACACTTAAAATTCTAGAGACGATCAGAGAAAATATTGTACGATGAACATCTTAAAGTGGTTATTCACTTTAACTTGAAGTGCAGGTACCTACCCTGTATTAAAAGCTGCTGCCTAAAAACATATAGGAGTACCAAGATGACTGGGTAGAATTTTAACAACATTAGGTTGAATAGCCCCTACTGAAAAATGTTGCACAACCAGCACAAGTCTAAAAACCACACTACCCTGATATTCTCACATAAGTTATGGGTATCACATTTAAAACTCATTGTCAATGTCCCAAATGTCGCCGGAGAGGGCATTTGCAGCTCCCTGAATAGTCCAAGTTGCTAGAGCCAACTGGTTTCTCAACAGAGTTTCATTGAAAGCACCACTGTTTTTCTGACGCAGCTTCAAGTGCTCTAGCAAAGCCGACAGAGTGTGAGAGCCAGAGCCCCAGAAGATATGCCGGAAAGGAGACTCTCTCGGAGACACATAGGGAGAGAGGAAGTGATATTCCACCTAGAAAAACAAAGCACACAGGAGCATCAGCACAACGCTATGACTTCTGTTGTGAGGAAAGGACCTGACAGAGGAAAGCAACTGTCATTCTCTCACTTCAAATGTTAAAATCTCCCTGGATTTAAGAATGTTGAGAACCATGACACTAATGCTCTAACATGAAAATTGTAAAACAAAGTGTCCATTCCTTTGTAAAAGTGAACTCTAATTGTACTGGGTATTTTTTTCGGTTGGGGCATAGCATAGATATGGAAGGTTTACAACAAGTTTCCATGTAATGAAGTCTCTGCTTCTCCCAAACAGACTAAGATAAAAGCAGTTAAGGGCTGAATTAGCATAAATACAGAGAAAATGACAGCTAAAGGTCACTAATCTCTTCTTAAAAATGTTTTTAGGGGGCCAGCCCGGTGGCGCAGTGGTTAAGTTTGCACGTTCTGCTCCTGCGGCCCGGGGTTCACCAGTTCAGATCCCAGGTGCGGACATGGCACCGCTTGTCAAGCCATGCTGTGGCAGGCACCCCACATATAAAGTAGAGGAAGATGGGCATGGATGTTAGCTCAGGGCCAGTCTTCCTCAGCAAAAAGAGGGGGATTGTTGGCAAATGTTAGCTCAGGGCTAATCTTCCTCAAAAAAAAAAAAAAAATTTTTTTAAAGCCTAAAAAAATTAATATGAGGTCAAATGTCTCTTGTATTTCCAGTTTAGAGATGTTGGCTCCAGATTGTGCTAGTAAATAAGTAAGAGTCAAAATCTGTGCTGAATTCTAAAGCAGCAAAAGATTCTAGGCTCCTAGAGATATTACTGTACTTTCTACAAATCTCAAGATTTACCAATTAAAAATTAACATACTCTAGTCCATCCTTTTCTAAGAGTTTACTTACTTTCATGATACGGTCGTTGATTTCCCTCATGACAACTCTGTTTGCTCTCTCCGCATTCTTATAATCTGTTGTTAGTCTGGATGTAGCACGGAAAAAGTCTCCACGAGCAGAATATAGCCACTGTAGATTCAGACCCATCTCCTGAAGCAGAAAGACATTAAATTCACTATCGGACACTGGTTTCTAAGGATGTTATTCTATATACCTGCCTAACTGAAGCATAGCAACTGAGATGATTCTGATAAAAGGAAGCGACTCACAGACAGGCTCAAGACTCGGGGGAGCAAGACTTAAACACCTTGTACAGCAGGTTCCAAGCCCTATAAACTACAGTAACACACTCATATTTCAACCAGCAGATAGTACAATTATCTGTTCTTAGCCTCCTAAGAAAATCATCCTCATCAAGAAATTTAATTTAATTGACTTAGTAAAAGTATATAATCCTGGGGGCCGGCCCCATGGCTAAGTGGTTAGGTTTGTGTGCTCTGCTCTGGCGGCCCAGGGTTTCGCCGGTTTGGATCCTGGGCACGGACATGGCACCACTCATCAAGCTTTGCTGGGGCGGCATCCCACATAGCACAACCAGAAGGACCTACAACTAGAATATGCAACTATGTGCTGGGGGGCTTTAGGGAGAAGAAGAAGAAAAAAAGAAAAGATTGGCAACAGATGTTAGCTCAGGTGCCAATTTTTTTTTTTTTTTAAACTTTAGGTTTTTTCCTTTTTCTCCCCAAAGCCCCCCCAGTACATAGTTGTATGTTCTTAGTTGTGGGTCCTTCTAGTTGTGGCATGTGGGATGCCTCCTCAGCATGGTCCAATGAGTAGTGCCATGTCCGCGCCCAGGATTCAAACTGATGAAACACTGGGCCGCCTGCAGTGGAATGCGCAAACTTAACCACTCAGCCACGGGGCTGGCGCCCCAATTTTTTTTTTTTTAAAGTATATAATCCTGTGTAGTTTATCATTTCCAGTTCAATCTCCCTATGAGGGAAAACTTCAAACATTGTGGTTCAATGAACTTCAGAATCTAGTTATTTCCATGTGCTAAGTCGCATTTTCTTGATCAGTTACAATTAGTTTCAAATTTCAAGAGAGCCATAATAATTAAGATGTGGTTATCAGTGATTTACCTCATTTAAGGATCTGCTAAATTGACTTCGAGGACCATAAAACCAGTTGGAAACCAGCAATTAATACTTGCTGTGGCCTCTCCTAGATCTTGTAACTCACAGCCTCTCAACCTCCCTTTCAAATGAGTTATGGATTCTAAGTAAAACTAGACCTCGGTTCACTTTAAACCGTACTTTGGCTGCCAATCATGTCCCCTCCCCAGGAACAGCTAATGGCATTCTTCAAACTGCTTGACACTTGAGCAAGAAGAACTTGACTTTAACTGTGCTCACCTTTATGTCTGCTCTGAATTGGTTCATGTCCTTCACAAATGAAAGTATTTTGTCATTATACATATCATAGTTCAGGTTCAATTCAACATCGTAGCTAAGTTTAATTAGGAGCTGACCAGCTACTTCTGCTGCTGCACGTGTCAGTCTGCTCAACTCGGGAACGTTCTGACTCAGTACCTCATAGGTATCCATGGTAGTACCCAAGTAAGGATACTCCGTGTCCTGGAAAACAAAGCCAGGTTAACATATTCAGGTGGGATACAGGACTAGGAGCCTCACATCCCAGTTTCACCGTCGAGGTGACAGTAATGGCAATTCTTCCCTTGCTTCTAACGTATCCCTCCTCCAATGTTAGCGCAAACCCACTACTTTACGAAGACACCACTTTTGCTGCTTCCTTTGAACCTAACCTACTCCTAGAAGGACTACTTTCTTCTCGGTTCTATAGAATCCCTGTTCTATCACATCATATACCCTGAAGAGATTTCTAGCCAAACTCCTTGAAGTTATATCCTTGTTCTCTTCTCTCTGGGAAGTTTGGCCCACATTAATGAGGGAAGAGGAAGGCATGCATGAAAGGTACTTTGAATATAAAGTGTTACTCTCAGACTGGAATTTACCTTCTTCCTAATCATGCAGCACTAGGTCCGCTCATACAGTATTACCCCTCTAACAATGTCTGATGCTCACGACAACTTCTCTGTGCCTTCATTAGACAACTTTCGTAACTATTTCTTTGACTCTATTCCCTACCATTGACCTTGGTGACAACCTCACTGACAATCCTTTACTTTTAGACTGTACATCTCTGTTTTATTACCTGTACCTCTGAACCAGCACTGCTAGACTTCTGACATCTAAGAAGTCATTAAGAATTTTTTAAAAACATGACTTCTGAAGGTCAACAGAAAGCATCCATAAATTTCCTTGAGCACAGGACCCAACACTCAGTTCTTCCTAATGTACTACATAGACATCATGACCGCCTATTTCAACACCATTCGTACGGCTGCTCTGGCAGAAGGTCAAGAGAATGCCAGCTAGGTGAATCTCCAGATGCTGATCTTTCATCACTCCCTCACTTCAAACCTTTCCCATCCTAGTCCCAGACTAAGATAACAGGTATTAAGAAGCCTAGTAAGGACCTGGCCTCTACTGGATGAAGAATTTGAGGCCATTCTGAGGCCAAAGTCAACAGCTTCCATCCTGACCCCCTACACTGACATTAGGACCTCTTCACCCCTCAGAAGAGCTGCTACAGGGCTGGTTTTCCATCTCCAGCAGTTCGGCACAGAAGCCTTCATCATTCTGTTTTCTCTGCTTAGCTTTCAGGGCCTTCTAACTGGCTCTGGTACCAAGCCAATCTTGTCTCCCTACAACTTGGTCAGTTCAAAGTTCTGTCTTGTAACAATCTTACTTCTGTTTGGTTTTTGTGCTTTAACCCATTATCCTTGCTTAAGAGACCAAAACACCTCTAGACAAACATCTGGAACCATATTTCAGCAGGTATCAAGAAGATCACTGTCCAGTAGAACTTTTCATTTGATGGAAATATTCTATACCTCCCTGTCCAATGTAGGCTTGTTATAAAAACTCATCATACTTAATTGAAGAAGTTTTGGAAAATAAATTCAAATGCTAATTAAGCTCACTGAGATAACAATTCTATGTTAAGACTGATAATGAGGGAGCATGCAATAACTGCATATGTCTAACTTCTTATAAAACACATTAAGCACTCTAGGAAACTTGGTCCTATAACTGATGAAAGAAGATCTAAGATGTAACACTCTAGAGTTCTTCAGACTTACCTCACAAAAACAGAAAGACAATGCTGGGATTCCAGAATATGCAAGGAAAGGGAATGCAGCATTATCAAAGGAAAGTTTCTCGCTGCAAGGAAAGCAAGATGTGTCTTTAGAAAGTTTTCTTAAGAAAAGACTGTGCTACCATGCAACCCTACCCTTGCCCCGAAATAAATTCTTCAACTGAATCTCTCTAGGTACAGGTACGCCCACGGCAAGGTTAGGTTTAGATCTCTACCTAACAGAGTAGGTGCTACTGGGTGATTCTGCTTTTTTATTAGCTGTGCATTCACTTTTCTCAACTTACACTTTGTTGATCCAGTTGCTGTCCCGATACAGAGACAACCCAGTAACTGGATGTTTCACCTGTAAAATAAGAAATTAATGAATGTATCATTAAAATGAACCTTTCTCAACTTATTCAGGCTAGTCACTAACATGTTTCTCTATAAACATTTATACAAAATAACGAATTTTTTATCTTCTTGAAAAAATTTCTTTAAGACAATTTAAACAATGTCAAATTTCTGAAGTTATTCCTATTAGCCTTGTGCTGTTGGCTCCTTTAGTTATGGTGAGGAAAAAATGTTTTCCTCCTTAATTAACATCTTAAAGGTGGCTTAACCACAATTTTAAAAGCCTTCACTAGCCTTCACGATATACCCATCTTGTTTATGGTTTCTTCGTTCTAGCACGTTTTATACTACTGCCAGCCTAACCTGGAAACACCTTACTGCCTTGTTGGAGACCCTATCTAGTAATCCCTAGTTTCCCATGGGATCAAGGTCAAGTTCTCTGAGCATTATTTCCCTCCAACTTTAGCCACTCCAGTATATAGCCTCTAATCCCATTAGGCAAATACTGTTCCTCTCTCATTCAAAACTATGGTCATCCACATGTCTGTCTTTATTCAATGAATATTTTATCTGGCCTTCTTAAGTCTTAGATATATATAGTTCAAGTCCATTTAAACCTTCCTTAACATTCTGACTCTACAGACAACCCCCTGTGGGCACCTACACTACAGCTTAGGCCTCATGGAATTCTGCTACATATTCTTAAATAGACCACATATTGTTTGAGATGAGAGCCCTTCACATACCACCTCCCTCATCTCACATGGTTCAGTGGGCTGGGGGCAAATAAGCCAAGAGCATGACTTAAATAATGCTGCTATAGAATTTATTCCAGATTTCTGCTATTGGTTACTTATAATGGTTTAAATATCAATGTTTTCCATCTTACGTAAATTAGATAAAAAATTAAGTTATACAATTTTATAATTAGGTATATACTCACTTCTTGCATCGTTTTCTCAATAAGTGAATACAGCAGTGGGCTGGCAGAAACCTTGAAGTTCTTGGCACCTGCAAAGAGATCATTTTAACATTGCCCCGTCTCTAGTCGAGCAATTTTCACACTGCTACTTCTACAACTAAAAGCATTTGCCCAACTGGAACACCCCTAGATCAGTGGCATATGCAATTATCCTCCAAGTAGACAAAAAAGTGATTTACGAGTCAGGTTCTTTTGTGACTGCTAACCCTAATTTGACTCAACTGAAGTTCTTACTCCTTGCTTTTGTGTACTTTAATGTTAATGATTTGGTTTGGGGTAGCTTTTTGCTTCACCCAGCAAGCTTGCTATATCCAATACATTCTGCTGTGTAGGTAAACGGCAATGGCGACTAATCTAATAAAGATTCCGTTCAATTGTAATTCCTTCCCTTTGCTTCCCGATGTAGATATTTCACTATTCTCAGTTCATCCAAAGACTATATGTGCACTTTTAATAACATTCAAACTCTTTCAGCAGTTTGATTATTTGGTATTTCTATCTGTGATACCACAATCTAGTAAGACGTGAATTAGTCTCCGGAAGTCCTATTCTATATGGTATGGTTTAGTTCCTTCTGGTCTGAAATATAGCCCAGCCTAGTGGTTCCCAAACTTTAGTGCATGAGAAGTGCCTGCTGTGCTTGTTAAAATAGTTTGCTGGACCTATGCCCCAGCTTCTGACTCAAAAGGTCTGGGGTAGGGCCTGAAATTTTGCATTTCTGACAGTTCCCAAGTGATCCTGATCCTGCTGATCTGCGGACCACCCTGAGAACCGCTGCTCTAGACAAGGCAATCTGCACCCATTCTGTCACTGAATGGCCTATTAAGAGAAAGCTACGTCAATCTTTTGATCCAGGTATGGCCAATAAATATATAACAAGTGCTGCTTTAGAAAGCTTTCTTCTGCTGTTTTGTAAGTAGTTTACCGGAATTCACAAACAGCTAACGGAAAGGGTACTTACCAAGAACAGCTTTATCCAGATTAATGTAAGTGAAAGCCTTTAAATGCAAGGAGGAAAGGTATCCCTGGAAGAGAAGGAAAAATACTGATGTACCAATATGTAGTGATCTATACCTATTATTAGGAATTTCTTCTTAAATTTGGATTCTATTGAGACTAAATATACCAAGGCAAAAATGACGGAATCAAATCTAAAAGAGCATGGTTTCTGGAGAACAAATTAAGCCAATACAAGTTTGGGTGCCCAGTCTGGGTATGGATAATACATAGACAATACCTCCAGCCATTCAGTGGCACCAATAGCTCCGAAGTCTCCAGCACCCCAGCTGGCAAAGACAATGCTTCTGCTGGGTTTAAACCCACCTAAAAGAAAACAAACAGTTTGATCTGGGGAAAGGTTATAGGTAGGCAACTGACTCAAGATGAAATCAGAAACTTCTACTTCAAGGCAGCAGGTTCAGCAATATTTCTTTTCCTTTGAGGCCCCAGGTGAAGGAACGAAAAAAGGAACAGGAATAAATTTTAAAAGTAATCTACAAAGAACAGGCTAGGAGATCATTTGCAGATAAGATTTCAAGTACATAGTAGTGACTGGCTTCCTGAAAGCCACTTTTTTCCAACTCCATTCTTTGAGTCCCTTAACTTCTGGACCAAGAGATATTTGCCATCGCAGTGTAAGTATGATATGTATCTTCTTTGAAAATAATTCGCTTAGGGGTAAGTCATTTAAAACACTGGATTACTTTTAAAACAATTGGCATGAAATAGACTAAAAATTCACAAGTTTAAGTTACAGGAAATAGTTTTCAGAGAAATTACATTAGTGACAGTTCCTTTTGGGGCTATATGTGCCACTGCCCTCCATCGCTCGCCCTTCCCTGGGTATTTTTCTGCATTACTGTACTTTTGTATAAAAGTTAAGCACTATAACTTACCCTATGACCCAAAGATTCAAGAATGTGATAGGGGCTTGGGGGAGGGGGAGCAGGGGGAGGCTGTAGAGGAGTGGCAGAGTACCATGGAAGAAAGGCTTGAAAGAAGACCTTTATATAAGTATAATATATAAATATATATAAACATATTATATATTGTATTTATAAATCAAATATATTCCATATTATACTTATAAATATAATATATAAAATTATATGTTACAATTTTATAACAAAAGTATAGAACATTAGTACACAGGGACGCCACTGCTTGCTTTCAAATAGATTCCTTTGGGACAATGTCAGATCTGCCATATCATTCTAGATACGTCATACTAAGAATTAGGGCCCAATATAACACTTTCTGTTGTCTCAAAGAAATTCACGATTCCCAGTACAGTGAAGATGCTGCATGGACAGCTGTTTCAAAGTCAAAGGCAGATACAACAAAAAACAATCTACTTTGTACTTAAGAACTCAGGGTCTGGGGCCAGCCTGATGGCGCACCGGTTAAGTGTGCACGTTCTGCTTCTCGGTGGCCCAGGGTTCGCCAGTTCAGATCCCGGGTGCGGACATGGCACCGTTGGCAAAAGCCATGCTGTGGCAGGCATCCCACATATAGAGTAGAGGAAGATGGGCATGGATGTTAGCTCAGGGCCAGTCTTCCTCAGCAAAAAGAGGAGGTATTGGCAGTAGTTAGCTCAGGGCTAATCTTCCTCAAAAAAAAAAAAAAACAAAAAAAAAAAACAGAACTCAGGGTCCAGCACGAGTGAACCATAGGAATATAGGCAAAAGTGAGCACAGCCTATTACAACATTTAGAACTATACATTGCACACAGATGTTCAAGTTCTCAAAATTTGTACTCTACCTTTTGAGACCATATCAGAGAATATCCGGGCAAGTTCCAATAGGAGAGCTGTTCCTACACTGGACTTTGCAGCTCCAGGACCCCAGGCATCCCTTTGGGCCCCTATTACAACATAGCGATCTTAAAAAAAAAAAAGAGGACAAATTACACAATCAATTTTTAAACTGTTTTCTAATGTTGAAGTCCTGAATAAGTAAGTTAGTAGAAGGGTAAAAATGTAGTCTAAGTATTAAGAATAAGAGGGCTCCCTGCAGTTCTGACTTAGGACTCGAGGGATTAAAAGTTCACATGACAATACTCATCTCTTTAGTACTGCTACTCTTTTTCTATATTACCATTAAGTTTAGTCACTGACTACTTATTTGTGCTAATTGTTTAATAAGCTATTAAGTCCAAGGGCTTTCCTTATTAAATGATATGACTATTTGATTGCATTTAGATAGATAGATTGCCTATTCCAGGGACTGGCAAACTACAGCCTGCATGCCCATTCATTATGTATTGGCTATGTTGTCTTTGTCTTACAATGCCAGAGCTGAAGAGTTACAACAGAGACTGGGTGGCCTGCAAAATGTTTATTATTTGCCCCCTTAAGAAGAAATGTGGGGGCCGGCCCAGTGGCCAAGTGGTTAAGTTCACACACTCCGCTTTGGCGGCCCAGGGTTTTGCCGGTTTGAATCCTAGGCGCAGATATGGCACCGCTCATCAAGCCATGCTGAGGCGGCATCCCACATGCCACAACTAGAAGGACCCACAACTAAAAATATACAACTATGTACCAGAGGGCTTTGGGGAGAAAAAGGAAAAATAAAATCTTTAAAAAAAAAAAAAGAAGAAGAAATTTGCTTACCACTGGTCTACTTAATAACTTAAGAGATTTTTCTAGTGATATGGTGATTTTTTGACAAGTTAATTTCCTAGGGCCTTATTAATTCCCAATAAAACCGACCCCTCCACAGCCCACTTTGGGACAGACAAGATTTAGCATTTCATGAAACTGAGCCGAGCCAGCCTTGCTGCACTGCCTCCTCTGGCCACATCCTTAAGAAGAAGTGAGGAAAACAGAAAAACAAACAAAAAACCAAGGGTCTTTACCTGGTTCTTCAAAGCCTTTAATAACTCCAAAGACGTTAAAAATTCTTATCTCTTTCAGCTCATTGTTCACTGTGAGCTTCACATTCTTATCCCCTGGGAATTCCAGCCGACACGAAGAGTCTGTTTTCCAAGAAGAAGGACAGTCTCCTTTCATGTTTCTAGTAGGAGAAAACAGAGATCAGAGTCTGACTTACTGCTACGTCCAGCAGGTTTATAAAGTCAGTCATCCTCCCTGTCCAGGAAAGTTCCAGGGTAAGTGAACAGATAAAGAGAACACACAAAATTTACTCCCCAGAGGCCAACATTTGCATCTTACTCTGATCTGCGGGCAGTCTTTTGAAAACCATGAGTTACTTCCTAGTTTAATCAATGTTTTCAAAAAATTCTCTACCTATTCTCACCTGTTGTTTGCCTCTCTGCCAGAGATATAGCTGTGGTTTACATTTGAAATAGATACCAAGACGGACTCAGAAATAAGCTCTTATATAAAAGTTCATTAATATATTTTCATGTTTCCTGACTCCTTCCACTAACAAGGGTAGCATACCTTCTTATCTCAGTTATAAAAGAGTATTCTCATGCCACTCGCAGTTAGATCTCTTTCCCTATCCAATTCCTCGTGTTATGCAAACAATCACTGCTCTAACTATGTCAAAACATTATTATCCCTCACGACACAAGGATGAGATAATGGGCTGGCTTCACAGGTTAGGAAAAGACTTGTAGGTGATGGGAAGAATTCACTGATTTTAAGTTTGGTATGAGTCAGTCAGAATCATCTATTACAAATGCCTCAGATAGCATTATTAATAGTCATATGAGGGGCCGGCCACATGGCCGAGTGTTTAAGTTCGCGCGCTCTGCTTCAGCAGCCCAGAGTTTCGCTGGTTTGGATCCTGGGCGCAGACATGGCACCGCTCATCAGGCCATGCTGGGGCAGTGTCCCACATAGCACAACTAGAAGGACCTACAACTAGAATACACACCTATGTACTGGGGAGCTTTGGGGAGAAGAAGAAGAAGAAAAAAAAGAAGATTGGCAACAGTTGTTAGCTCAGGAGCCAATCTTTAAAAAAAAGAAAAAACAGTCACATAGTATTTTACAAACTCCTTACATGTAGATGTTCTTCATTTAAGACCAGTTATCCTGTTAAGTAGAATCCATTTCAGCGACCCAATAAAGTCCAAGAAACATGATCAGCAGGGTTAGAGTAACTCGTTCTACGTCACGCAGCAAACAAATGCTCACATTAGGTGTCTGAAACTAGATCTACGTCCTGTGCCAATACCAGGTGCAAAATATGTCCAGACCAAGATAAAAATTAATGGCATGCTCTAATTAGATGGCTCTATTTTTAAAGAGGGACACTAATATACTAGAGAGGACATCCAGAAGGACTAATCATGACTGTAAAGTATCTAGAAACGATCAGGAGAACTGAGGATATTCAATCCATAGATAAGGAAACTTGAATCGTTCTGTTGTTAAAAAGAAAATCCAGAACTAACGGGTGTTACAGGGAATAAGATTTCAGCTCAACACACATTCTAACAGATCTTCTCTAATAACTGAACGGGTTGCCACAGGCAACAAAGTGCTTTGTAACAGGAAGTACTCAAACAGAAGCTATGCCAGGAATATCGCACAAGGAATTCACTGGCTGAACTGAAAAAGGACTCTTCAAGTTTACAAATTTAACGTCTACTATTAAGATCATTTTATAGAGGATAAATTTCATTTTTGTCTACACCACGTTAAAAGCTATCCATCCCCTAAATGACCCAAATGTGAAAAATTATAGCCAACACTTTTAACATTTTATCAAATCAACTTAAACATATCATTCCTCCTCTAATCATGAAACCTCACCCTGCAAGACAACTTTCAAATAAGAACTTACGCAAACAGCGCTTCTGCAGCGGCTCTGGAAATTGTTTGGACAGGTATATTAGGCAATCCTGATGACTGAGATGGTGGAAACTGTGTGTGATTGAAAGAAGGGAATCCTGGTGTATAAGGGTCACCGGTTCCCAGATGAGCCTAGGAAAACAAAAAAGTAATTAGCTCCATCAGGCACTTATGCAAGAAGGTCCCTATAAGATCCAGATTCAGTATGAGGCTACATCCCAAGCTTAGCTGAGCACCTTAAGGTCTGAAAGTCTGAGTAGCTCTATGATATGTGACTCGTTTTTATATGGCATAGGCCAAATTCTCAATTCAAGACACTACTGATAAAATACTTTTAGCATGGGGCCGGTCCAGTGGCACAGAGGTTAAGTGCACACATTCCACTTTGGCGGCCCGGGGTTCACCGGTTCAGATCCCGGCTGCAGACAAGGCATCACTTGGCAAGCCATGCTGTGGTAGGTGTCCCACGTATAAAGTGGAGGAAGACGGGCATGGATGTTAGCTCAGGGCCAGTCTTCCTCAGCAAAAAGAGGAGGATTGGCAGCAGATGTTAGCTCAGGGCTAATCTTCCTCAAACAAAACAAAATTTTTAGCAATAAGTAATAACAGTCTCACAGTCATGTAATCCATCTTCCTGCTTACTGTTAAAACTCTTCCAGAAAAAGAGCTTATTTAAGGAAGGCACAGTTCTAATTTCTATTAATGTAGATAGAACCTAGCAATAATTTGGAAAACCCCAAAACTCATTTACTCAAGAAATAAGAACTCACATGTCCAAAGACTGGAAGATTTGCATTGACAATGGGAAATTTAGCCTGGTCCATGTATATCAAGACACCAACTGCATTTAAACTTTCAGCATTTGCAACCTAAAGAGAAACAGGTAACGCTCAAAAAATGAAGACCTAATCATACAAAACTAGAAGAATCTATCCTGGAATTTACACTGAGGACAAACAGTTACAGGGGACTACACTGAAATTCCCAAACGTTTCAAATAGCTTATATGTTTAGAAAAAATATGTGTCTTAAAACTCATTAAGGAGAGTTTAAAAGACAAGAGAAATAATAAAAAACCCATCTGGGACAACTACTATCTTGATATGTTCCATTCTGTCCCTTGTGTAGTTTGACCTGTAAATTCCCTTTTTATAAAACATAGTTATAACTGAATTCTGTATGTACATAAAGCTCAGTTACACAGACACAATTTCACTTACGCATTTCTGATTACTTCATTTTCACTGAAAGACAATGGCTGCAAAATACTCCAAGCGGATATGCCATAGTTCTGAAGCATCCTGTCACTTCAGATAATTGGAACTTATTTGATTTGTTGAGCAGTTTAGTAAATTAAATTACATTAACAGGTATGAGCGTTCAACACTGCTGGTTTTCAGAATGTAATAAACAATGCCGTTCAACTGAAGAATACGATACCAATGTATTTAATAAGCCATACTCACCTTTTGAGCAAAAGTGATTTCCCCTGCTCTAACAATCACTAAAGATCCATTCACGGGATAGCTTAAAGCCTCATAGTCTTCTTTAGTGCCAAAGTTAGCATGGACCAGTTTACCCTAGAAGAAAGACATTAGATTTAATAAGCATTACGGCATTAGAAGAGCCATAGAGTCTGAGACAGAATGGTCTTACAGATCAAACCAAGAGAGGAAAAAAAAGGAGGTCAAGGCCTAGAAAGGATGTGAGAGTTCCACAGTCAAACTGGCCAGGGCTACAAGGAGTGAAGCCAACATTTCTGGCCTCCTACACTCATGTCTTTCATTATCTCAGGCTGCCTTTAATCTAATTTCCACTGATCTATTTACATTAATTAATTTACATCTATTTTACATTGCTTCAGATATTTTGGGGACAGAGAAAGGATAATAAACACAAAGGATATGTTAAACACAAAGACATATACCAACAGAAATATTATAGGTTAGCCATGGCAGCACCAATTACATGTTTCCACACTTGAACCCCAGAGTTGAGGACATACATAGGAATAGGTCTTCACTGAAATTTCTGATAATAAATCTGTCCAAAAATTACTAAACACTATTACAATAAAGTGATTGCAGAGATCAACTTTTAGATATTTACATAAATTGTCAGCATAATGTTCCTAAACGCTATTAGAGTTCGATGTACAGCCAACATTAACAACCAAATGTCTAAGTATAGAAAGCTTGCAGGTGAACTAAAATCCTCAATGTTCTGTAACAGAACAATCTACCCACTTCCAAACTCCTGGCTTGTAAGCAGTCAGGGAAAGTGATACAGAACAGGTGACCAGGAAGACCAAAAATTACCACAAAAGTTCATCTGGCTCAGAAAGCATCCACTACATAGACCCCTGACATATAAATATGTGGTTTTTAACCTAAAAAACCTAGATACATCTATTCTATTAGCTGTTTTTTAATTTCTATGGTAGTTTGGTCATATTTGCCTAAATTTTAAAAGATCAAACATCACAGAATCAAGCTAACACTAAACACCAGCCAAGATGGTTATTGATACCTATTTATATCCACATAAGGGGAATCTGATATATGCATTCACCCGGCAAATACTACCACGTGTCAGGCACCGTCCGAGGCTCTGGGACACAGCAGCAAATGAAACCAACCCCAGCCCTTCGCGTAGCTTACATTCTAGCGTGGAAACAAATGAATAATGTCGGGTGCTACAAGTACTATGAAGAAAAATAAAGCAAGACAAGGGGAAGAGATTAGAGGAAAGACATCTTTGATAAGATACTCAAGGAAGACTTCCCCAGGGAAGCAACATCGGAGAAGAGACTTGCCCATGACGAGGGGACAAGCCACGCTGATATTTAGAGGAAGAGTGGTCCAGGCAAAGGGAAAGGCCTCGAGGTGGGAGCAGGCTCGAGTCTGAGAGTGTTTGCGGAACAGCAGGGAGGTCAGAACACCCAGGGCGGAGTGAGAGAAGAGGAGAGCAGCAGAATTACTTAGGGCCTTGCCAACCAGGATGAGGACTTGGGATTTTTATTTTAACTGAGCACAGGAGGGTTGAGAACAAGAATATCTCGTGACCAGCTCCATTTTACGAGAACAGTAAAGACAATGAGTTTTTGAGCTACTCAACCGGGAGAAAAAAAGTCATGCAGTGTTTTGCCTTACTTACAGTAACTGTTGTGGCCTTACTATACGCCACGTAACCAGTGGGATTCTCCACCAGGGATATCATGTCACCACTCCCGTTCACTACGGTCACCGAGCTCTGAGCATTGCTAAAAAAGATTAAGTTAAAATGAAGCTAAGGGCAAGCTTAGGAAAAAAATTAAATGGCTTCAATACATTTAGTACTTGACTTCATTATTTTGAAAATCTTTGCTATATTTAGCACACCTAAAAACAGCTTCTTCTGTAAGTTTACCATCGTTCAACATACCTGCCTTTGACCTGAATCTTAACAAAATGCTCATCACGCCACACTTTGTTGAGCTTAAATTCACGGAATTGATTCTCAATGAAAAAAGCCAGGCTTTCATCTTTTTGAGATCCAGCCTCGCGAGGGACATAAGAATTTCCATTCAGCCGCCTGGAGGAAAAGAAGGTCACTGTTAAATGAACTGAAGTTTAATTTAAAATAAACATTAAACTCAAATATCTGTTTTAAAACTGTTTTAAGAGCATAACTCAATACTATCCATTATAGTTAAGATAAATTAACTGTGACCCAAAATTTCTGGATTGATCAGATAGAGACAAACTTAGAAGAAGAAGAAAAAATTATGCCCCACATCTGAAGGAATTCATGACTTCAAACTTGTTAAAATTTCTTTTCCACTGTAAAGCATTCCTTTAAGAGCCCCATCACAGTACAGCATATCTGCTTAGGGTAGTGTCAGGGGGAATCAGTCGCTTCCAGGAGATCTGTTGTGAGCAAAATGAAGGATAATAGTATTGTTGGTGGACTCCAGATGTGCAGCTTCAATTTTCACCTACTCTGAAGCATTTTGAATCCTCTGGAAGCAAAATTGTTTCTTCTTCTGACTCCCATGGCTCTTTGTAAATATACACATCACGTTATATTAGTTATCTTTTTTTTTGGTAGACTACACTCTCCCCTCACCTATAATGCTTGGTGTATGTATAGTATACACAAAAGCATTCACTAGATGAAGTAACAATGCCAAGATTTCTAATTAAAGACTAAAAGAATTATTGTACCATTGAAACTGTAGGAAGGTAGCAAAAAGTAGAAGATGAATTTATTCTTTACACAGAGTTAAAGTACGTGCCTAAGGAAGATCTTAAAAATCTTAGGGCAGGGGCTGGCCCTGTGGCATAGAGCTTGGGCTCAGCATGCTCCATTTTGATGGCCCAGGTTCACGGGTTTGGATTCCAGGCACACACTTACACCACTCATCAGCCATGCTGTGGCAGCAACCCACATATAAACTGGAGGAAGACTGGTGCAGATGTTAGCTCAGGGCTAAACTTCCTCAGCAAAAAAAAAAAAAAAAAAAAAAAAAAACCCAAAAAAACTAACAGCAGAAGCCTTAAGGACACTTCTTAGGCTATGCATTAATGAGTGAGAACTGAAGAAATCAAGGAATACTAGAGACATATCAAGCTGGACAGTCAGTCCTGATCTAGAGGATGAAGATAGTTACTGATGCCCTTGTGAATAGCAGCAAAGCTCAGCATGACTTACACAGGGTTAAGATGGAAACCCCAGAGCAGAAGAAAGTGACAACAAGCAACAAGCTACGAAGAACCAGATGCCCAAAGTGATCAAGGACCTATGGAATTTTTTTAAGAGAAAGGAGAGTCCCCACAAAACTTCTCACTTTTTTCCTATCAACATAGTTTAAATTCTTTACTGACTCCTTACCCTCTAACTCCACATGGGAAGCCTCCCCTACTCTAACAAGCCTTTCCTCCAGACTGTCACCTTTGTTTTGTTTCCCTGTAGCTAATCATCAGTATCTGCTTAGGTGCTGAGGCTGAACTTGGGAAGAAGCTAGAGCTTACTTGATGGTGTTGGTGAATTCTGTGGCAGTCAGTCTCTCTGACAACATCGTCCTTAGGTCTGTCCAAAGTAAGCGAGACGGTGTTTCAGGGAAGTACTCTTCCGTTTCTGGTGGTTCTGTTCCCTCTATCTCCTTGGAGTCCCCTGATCTGCCACATTCAGATTTTGGTTCAACACGTTTACAATAGCCCAAGTAGCCAATCATAAATCCTAAGGATAAAAAGTTTCAGAGGTGAATTTATAGAATTCCATTTATAATCTAGTCATATAGGAATTGTTAATCCTTGCTTATAAGCCTCGAAAATACTGGTTTTAATCAAATTGTAAGCAGTCTGAAAGTAAATAATGCATCTCAGTTTTTTGTATATTTTAAAGCATTCAATCTAATAAATTATATAACTTTATTTTAAACAGTTCCTTTTGCAAAGCATAGGTATTTTTCCCCCCAGAAGCCTTTCCTGAATACTCATATTCAATGCTACAAATAACCGATGCGTTATTTCTGGTGTAACATTTGCACATTACACTGAAATGATTCGTGTGTCTCTCTTCTCCCACCAGGCGAAACTCAAAGGCAGGTATAGAATCTTAGTCATCATTGTATTCCTAGTGCCCAGCACAACAGCACATAAAAAGGTATAAAATAAACATTTGCTGAGTTGAATTAACAGACTTCTAGAGTTGGTGACAAGCAACATTTAAGTTTTGAATGGCCACTCTTACCAATCAAGAAAAAGATGATTACAGCAATAACAGCATAGCAGAAAGATCCATTAAACCTTTTTGGTTTTGTGAGGCTGGCGTGATTACTTCTCACGTTATTGTCAACATTTTCTTCTTCATCTACAGCTAGTTTCATCTCCACATGACTGTTATCGCCATCTACTTGCCGAGCCAGACTAAATCGGGTATATGACAATGGTGCTCCACCAAACTGAGATTTTAAAAAAAGAGAAAAAGAAAGCATATGAAGGAGAGGATAATGAATAGGAACACGTATAAAACGTTTGGTCAGCTATGTACCATCTACTGGGATAGTCTGATCAGGGCTTTCTTGAGTTCATCTTCTGTGCTTGGCTGTCCCTCTCCACGGCACCCAAAATGCCATGAAACTTCTCTTAAGATTTTCCATAATTAACTCCACTCAAGACTGAGTATACCCTTGCTTTGTGGGATCAGTTCCGCCTCAAGAACACCACTTCTAAGGTAAATGAATACCGGATAATAACTTTGGGTATTATTTCAGGCTTCCTGGGAGACAGTCGTTCTGTTATACTTCACATTCTTGCAAACGGGTGACCGAGAAATACCACTTAAAATACCTTACCAAGTTAGAGAACGCCGATCTGGCTTGATCCATCGTTCCGTGCTGTCACACTGATGAGCCTCCTATTAAAAAAGAGAATTCATAGAATGAGATAGATACCACTGTATCAGATTAGCGAGGGCTTTTCATTACCACACCAGATTAATTACTATATATCAAATTTACTCGAAAATATATTATTATCTTTCTAGAAAGGGTCTTTAACCAAGAGATTTAGTTTACATGACGACTATATTTAGTGTGATCCATGATTAGATCCTGAATTGAGGTGGGGAGGGAGCAGCTTGAAGGACATTATTGGGAGAAGTAAGAAATTTGAATGTAGACTAACTCCCGGAAAACAGTATTTTATCAACGTTAGATTTGGGTAGTGTGATAATGGTATCGTCTTTTTGGAGGAGAATGCCCTTTTTCTCAGGAGATCGACGGTGAAGAATTTAAGGATGAAGTGTCGGGAGGTCTGTAACTTATTTTCAAACAGTTCCAGTTAAAAAAGCAAATGTTAACTGTTAACACCAAAAGTGAACTGTTAACAACTGGTGAAACTAGGCAAAGGGTACATGAATACACACAGTACTATTATTTCAGTTTTTCCTGTAGGCCTGAAATTTTTCAAAATTAAAAATGTGGGGAAAGCTAATTAGAATGTCATCAGGGTAAGTAGATTTAAGTAACTGAATTTGGTAGGCAAAGAAAAGGGACAAATAAAAAACAATAGACTAGCACCTGAAAAAAAAACAAACCCAAACTAAAATAGAATTAAGTCAAGACTGGCCGTGCTCCATACACCAGTGACAAAGCATCTTCAACGGAAAAGGAGAAAAAAAACCCTGATCCTTCTGATTAAAATGAACAGTTCCTACAAATGATTTGACAGACCTCTGATGTAAAAAGAGTTGACAAAAGAAAAACATAGAGTACGCTATTTTACAGATAAAGAGACCAGTTATGAGAGGTTAAGTGACTTGTTCAAGGCTGAAAACTGATAATCTAAAAATGAAGTTCAATGGGTTACTGGGTTATAGAAACTGTGTTCTCATCTCCAGAAATTTAAGAAATTAATCTTAACTTTTTCCAAAGCAAAATACACCTCTGTAACCAACAGAGAGAATCCTAAGTTAAAGCATAGACATTAACTGAAATCTAGATTTTCTAGTTAATTTGGTTTGAGTGCATCCAGACACTTGAAAGTGATTATGTTGAGCTGTATAAAATGGCTATTTACTTCATACTACCTATTTCAAGGCTTTTCCCATGCTGCAAGTACACTTACAGCACATTTAACACCCACATGGCACAAAGCAAGCTATGAGATATATGCAGACTGTGAAACAAAAGACATTATAGAAACTGGCATTTGAAAAGTCTCCTATCAAAAATCTATTAACAAAAAAAATTTTTTTTTAATTCCCAAGCTTTAAAGACCAGAGCCAATAAGTAATAGGTCATATTCTTAGAAGCACAATCTCTTGTCCCATCTGGTACAAAAAGCTTATCACTCTCGCTGCACCAGAACAGTACAAACCCAATCTCTGGAGCCAGAACTAGAAGACCCCACCCCGAACCAATATCAACCACCCTTTTCTAGGAAACAGCAGCTCACAGGTTTAATACTCATCTGAACCAGCCATTCCTCAAGGTTTCTAGTTTGAAATTAATTTTAAGACTAAAGTGACAACATATTTAAATAAGTGATCTAAATAAAGAATTTAAATAAATGATGAGGAGACTGAGTAATTCTAAGTCTGCAGGAACAGGCAGATAATAGAACACGTAATTATGATTTTGTATAATTAAAATCTAAGTACATTTTTTACTGAGAGGACAGATATGTTTAGTTCTGTTTCAACCCCAGGCATAAAATTAAGACTATGACATAAAAGAAATCAAGTCAGAGGAAATTGTGACCTAGGCAATTCCCATGTTAACCTCATCATTTAACCCCACACCTGTGAAGAACATGATAATTCTATGATATCCACAAAAGTTATTCCTGAAATTATACATAACAAATTTAAGTCATTCTTTCAAAATGACCCCACACAGAGTAAAGCTTTCTACTTAGGAGAATCCCTTAATGAATTTTCTTCCAACGGAAATCACTCTATGCCCTAAAAGCATGGGAGACAAACTTTTCATACCAGTTGTAACACTATCCTTCTACAAACAGGCAGGTCTGTTAAAAGACCACATCTAAAGGCCAAACAAATCTTACCGGGCTTATTTCAAGATGTCACCAACGACGTTAATTATCCATTACAAGACACAAACCAAATATCACCTTGTGTATCTTTGGTGTTCTCAAAAGTAACTGGAAAAACTATTCCGTTTCTCACGTTAATAATGAAAATTAAAGTAAGCAAAATAGAGCCCCACCTGTTTTGAACATAAAATAGAAGGAGGATCTTAAATGTCTTTAACTGAGCCATGGGATGGAAGACAGGAGGCAGGCAAAGGAACTAACTACAGCCTCAAACTTCTTCAGAATTCAAATCATCTTATGCCTACCTTCCTGAAATGTGGCATTAATTTCTCTTTAATTTTTTAAAATACAGTAATTATCTTGAGGTCTTAAGCTACTTTGGGGTGTCTCAAAACCAGGGGTCTGTATGCAATACATACAGCTAAACAGGGGTGGGATGGGGGCATCAGGTACCAAAATACACTCTCATCTGTGTATAACAGACCCAAAGCTGCTATTCTATTTTACCCGAAATAAGAATAAGCCCCTTGTTTGTTACCACTGACAAGTCCACTTCCATTTAGAAAACAGGCCACAGTTTCAAGTCCTTGGAGCTCACATGAAATAAAGTTCCTCTGCCTGCTTTTGAGGCTCTGTTTAGACTTTCATTACCTAATAGCTTCACTGCCCTCTACGTTCTCCAAAATAAGACAGAACCCAGCCCCTGCCTTTACCCACCAGCATTCTTCCTTTGTCTTTGAAGTCCTACTCATTCCTTCCAGGCTCAGCTCAAGGGCCATCTCTATGAAGCCTTCTCTGACTAACTGCCCTATAACACTTGATATGGAATTATGTAGTAATCAACAAAGAGTAAAGGTATTTTATTTCTTAACAGTATTGCGGCATGCTTAATGTATATGAGGTTCATTTTTCATATCATTTGGAAACAATACGAAAAAGAATATAATGAAACCCCTGGACCTGGAATCTTTCCCATCCTTGCCACTATTCTGGTTTATCCTGAAATCACTGGGCAAAGCTTGGGTAGTAGGGAGATTTTTAAAAAGCAGAAAAACTTTAAAGTTTAGGGCTCCAAGATCTCAAACAATTGGTTACAGATACCCATTTTGCAAACTACTTCCCTAGGCAACTATGCACTTGCAGGTGAAAATGAAAAGATTACATGAACTTACAAAACCTCTGCAGGGTCCTTAGAACTCACACACTTGTGTACACCCAGAATGACTTCTGAAGAGACAATCAAGGTCTTCCCTAGCTTTAAATGAAAAGGCAGCAGAGGAAATCAAAAACAAGCAGAATCTTCATTGCCATTCAGCTTTCTGAAAAAAGACTGACCAATTTGAAGGTCACCCCTTGAAGTCATGGCAGCCTATTGGTGTAGTGCTCATCTAGGAGAGCAGACAGAAGGCACATGCACAGAAGAGTGCCAAAAGGCCTCAGAGGATCATTTTTAACTAGCTTTCATTGTTGTCTGATTCAAATTTAGCTGAGAACATTGCTCCAATATAGGTAAGTACAGTATCAGAGGCGAATAACTGCCACGCCTAGGGCAGAGTTAGCCAAGTCACTCCTTCCTATCCAAGGGTCTTCAGCACAGGCTAGAAAGCACACCATTACTTGACAAGAACATTCCATTGAAGAAAAGCTAAAGGGTGCTATGCTATATATAGACTTCTGGAAAATATTTCACATCAGTGACAAATAATTCTGGATTTTCTTGTGAGGCACACTGAGTTTATTATAATCCAAAACTGAGGGAAAAAACAGCAGGGCCAATAAGTACTTCAGATAGCCTAGGTTTAATTTTGACAGTAGAAAACTTCTGGAAACCACCTTAAGTGTCTCTGTCAATAAGGTCAAACTCCCCAGCCCAGAGACAACTGAATCAGCCTCTAGTATTGCAAATTCATATCTAAGCCTAGAATAAAGGTATCAGGTATCAGGTATCCAAATACTCCTGTAACAGGACAACTATTTCCCACTTCAATCCTCTTACTACTCCCCCTAAAACACACACAGGCGCGCGCGAGCACACACACACACACACGCACACACAGGAAAAAGCAGCAATAATCGAATTCCCTAATATACCCAAGGTCGCTACCAGCAGTAGGCAAAGGGAAAATGTTGACCAAAAAGAGTCAAGTCAAAAAAGCATGACTTTCTTACCCACTCTCCCCACTGCCCCCTTAGAGAGCTGACCACCAGAAACAGGGACACCATGGGCCTCTAAGGCGTTTGTCAATACAGCACAGCTCTGCCCATATCGCTAATTTTCAACCGTTTTTCCTTAGCCTCCGGACCATCGCTTCCACGAACTATCTGTCCTATGGTCTCCCATTTTATAGTGAGGACAGCCTCGCAGCCCCAATACTCTTAACGTGAACGCCCGCAGCGTTCAGTTGGCTTCTGACCTGGGAAAACTGAGAAGCCACCCACGAGGCCAAGGGGCACGCCGAGAGATCAGGTTGTACAGAGTTCAAGGGTACAGCTTACAGAACCCCCACCGCACGCCCACGACACACTCCTAACCGAATCGAGGACAGCTCGGTCCCCTCCAGCGGTGGAGAGACCAGAGCCCGCACGGGACCCGAGGAAGCAAAGGGCTCCGAGCTCAAGGTGACCTCCACCCCCAGCGCTGCGGGGACGCTTCCTGGAGCGGCCACGTGCTCCTCCCGAGGACCCGCCAACGCTGCGGCAGCGCGGCTCGCCCGGCGCGGACTCCTCGCTGCCGAGCCCGCGGCCTAAGCCGTCCCCGGAGGGCCAGCATTTAAGGGCGAGCCACTGAGAACAAGGGACGCAGGGGGCCAGAGGAGTCGGACGCAGAGTGGCGGGGTGCAGAGCGACAGCGCGGTGGCCCTCCTCTCGCCCTCAGAATCCTCACAGAGAAACCATTCGCCGCTCCGCCACCGAGCCCGGGAGGGCGCAGAAAGGACGCGAAGTAGGGCAGCCGCTCTGCACCCCGCGGCTCCACCCTCTGCACCTGCAGCCCGCTCCTCGCGCCGCAGCGTCCCCTTCCCCAGCAGCACGCGGTCCCCGCTCCATCCCGGCCACCCCACCCGGAGGCGCCCCTGGGGCTCCCCGACGCTGCTGGACAGCGCCCAAGGGAGCCGCGCCGCAGACCGCTCGGCCCAGCGCTGCAGGCGGAAGGGAGGACAGCAGGGCCGCGGCTTCTAACAGCGGCGCGTCACTCACACAGGCGACTCTTCGGTCCGCCCCTACCCAAGCCGCCGACGGCCGCCGCGGACGCCTCGCCAAGCAGACTACGGGAGGCGCCTGGCTCGCAGGCTGGCCCTGTCTCTCCCGACCCTCCCACTTGGGCAACTTCCGCTACGGCGCGCACCAATGGAGGCGCCGGAGGAGGGCTGCGCAAGCGCTCGGGCCGGCCGGGGCGGGGGAGGCAAAAGGCGCCAAAAGGCTGAGGGAGGGGCTGCGGGGCACTGGCTGCAGCCCTGCGACCCGGAGCCTTCTGTCTAACCTTGACCGATCTCCAGCCTCTGCAGTGCAAGGTCAAATGCTATTAGCGTTTACTCCTAGATGCTGGATGCTTACACTGAAATAATTCCTTAAAGCGTGTGTCCTTGATGGAATATTAGGTAGCCGCTAAGGCCTTATGGTGAATATATATTTTGCAGCCTCAGAAATACTTAGGATAAGCAGAAAGGAAAAAGAATGAAAAGCAAAGTGCAAATTTGTATTTACGTTGTGTAAAAGCTGCACAGGAACCAAGATTGGCACAGTGCTTTGCCTAAGGTTTAATGCATGAGGGAATGGAAGGGAAAATAGAAACAAGTGATTTATTAGGTGATAGAATTGTAGATGAACTCTAATATTCATTGCCATTATTGATATTATAGGATTGTGCCATGCATAACGAATAAAATTGGATTCTTGTCACTTTTTAAACTGTTTCCAAACATTCACACCCTCTCCCTCCCTCTAGTCGGTAGCCTGCAGTCCGGTGAGGGAGATTGGACAAGTTTACAAACAGCTACAAAGGATCGGGGCCTTAAAAGGGTTACACGTAAAGCGCTTTCCAGGTCAGAGTCCTGAGGGACGCAGAGCAGTCCTGCCGAATGCAAACCTGTTTCCAGGCCTCAGGCTCCTGCTCCTCCCCTTATTCCGTGCTGCAATAGAAGAAATACGCGGGGTCTGCCCACCGCCTTCTCTTCATCCCCATTCCCTAAAATCTCTCCCCGGGGAGAAATATTTAAAAATCTTATAAGCAGAAGCATTCACTGGACGTTAGGGAATCTACGCAGGAAAAAATTAAAGCGAGGAACGGATACGGATTAGCTGTGGAGGGGCCGTGTTGAAATTCAGACTGGGCGTGCTGAGTCCTCTCTCCCTTTCCTTCACTGGCGGGATCTTAAAAAAAAAATAAATAAATAAATCAGCCCTAGTTTCCTGGTGTAACTCTTATTACAACGTGGAGAAAATGGGTTTAGGAGAGAGAGGTTAGGACCGAACCTATGAAAATCCAAACAAAAAAAATTGCATTCACTAAACTGAAACAAGAAAGAGGACACTAAAGAGTGTGTCACTTATGTTTTTATTTTCATGCTTTTATGAGTAATAACAGACACTGTGCAATTAAATTCCCTTTACTATCCCTTTCTCCCTAGAAGCTTTGCAAGATCTCTCTCCTCTGCCATTTCACGTAGGTGAAAATAAATTTGTCTTGCTTTGTTGCAGAATCTACACATACTGAGCAATTTCGCTTCGTCTGGTATTCCACACAAATGTTCAAAGATTTCATGTTTTTAATCTGATTTTCGTTGTTGTTGTTGCCATTATTACATACCATTGACGAGATTTTCACATATGGAGGTATATGCGGTAACTATTCGGGTTCAAAATTGATTTGGCTAGAACTAAAGAAGCCTGATTTCTGGTCGGTCAAACATCCATTTTACACCTGCTTTAACCATTAAAGTAAAGAATGCACACCTCCCCTCCTACACCCTATTGGCAAAGCCCTGCTGGTAAACTCCTGGATTATTCCTTCTCAGGACACCAGGGTCCTGTTGACCTGCTAATTTGCAACTGAATACTTCTTTGAAACTTTGATGAATATGTATCCTGGGTGTGTTTAATGTATGTTTCTTGTTCTAAAAAAGTATAAGACTGTACTGAAAACCATGCTTCTCAGGAAAGATTCTTCCTTTCTGGAAAAGGGCTTCTTGGATTATAATCTTCACCTTGGCTCAAGTAAAACTCACTCTGTCTCTCTTATCTACAGAATAGTTATTGGTAGTTTTGCATCGACAGCGTTAGCTCCTGCTTCTGGAGACCCGGTAACATGGATGCTTGCAATGAAATAAGTGTTTGGTACCTTTATTTAAACTATAACTGAAACAGGTATTATTCGATTTCCAACCTTCCACAGACTGTCACAGGTACAAGAGGGAAATTTGCTGCTTGCCCCTAAGATCAAAATCAAAACATATACGTCTTACCTTGGTTACAGGAACCCAAGAGGAAAAAAAGGGGGCTGTAAACCCAAACCTACAAAATGATGCAAGTTAGGGGTGGGAGGTTTTTCGTTTTTAGACAAAGGCATTTAATACTTTGTCGCCTACATTTAAAAACATTAATCTGTTTATATTATGTATATTTTAATCACAATTTTTAAAAATATGTTAATCTGTCAACTTAGTAATAGAAGATTCAAAACCATTTGCGCTTTCTGGGGTCCTATCTGTGGCCCAAATGCCAAATGGGATCTTTTAGGTCAGCGTTTCTCAAACATTTTTGTCTGTGCTTCATGGTAAAATGCCCATTGTACTTCACAACTCGGTACACACACGTGTGTGTGTATGTGTGTGTATATGTATCTATATGTGTGTGTGCATATTCACATGACACTGAATTAAAAGTTTCATGAAAAATAATACCCTTGCTGTGTGCAAAGCAGTCTGGAATTTTCTATTTAATTTTTAAAATGCTGATTTCAATCTATTAAACTGATTTCTCCATGGGCTATGATGGTGTTTGGAAACCGCAGCCCTAGGACATCTCCCTTCTCAGAGTTTATGTCTTTTTAGTGAACAGGACAAATGACTTGCTCAGAGTTAAATATCAATCCCCAAGGTTTCTCCCTGTTACTTTGCCCACTATTTCAACTTTCTACCACCCTACACTTCAGCAAATATTGATTGAGGTTTTATTGGTTGGGAGGCAGAGTTAGAAAACATAGATAAAGTCTTTTCAAATACCAGCAAATACTTTGGTCAGTCATGGCAGAACTCTGCCTGCCACACGGCGGGTCCTCACGGCCACCACCACGGAAGCCTCTATGACTTACATTCACCTCTGACCACAGCTTCTATTTGACAGACTATCCATTTTCTTTACCTTGGAATCCTAAGCATAGAGCAATCACTTTAGGACCAGAATCCTAAAATAAAAATGTGGAGCTCTGCACATTGGGACAGGATGCATTCCAGAGAACAGAGGTGGACTGTCAGCTCATATATTTGAGGCTGATACTATTTTCCGATTTATTTCACATTTCTTTTTTTTTTTTCTTAAACATGTACTTGGAAGCCTTTGTTTCCTGTCCTGATACTGCTGACTAAATTATTTTTTGTTTCCCCTGTGCTAAAAGAAAGCTCACACTGGAGAACATAGAACAGGAACAGTATCTAGGTTAACATGGAGGAATTTGCCCCAACTTTATTGTAAGTGGCAAAGGTTACTCAGGGCAGGGAAAGCAGAATAATTAATTGTTGTGTTTTTTTTGAGGAAGATTAGCCCTGAGCTAACATCTGCTGCCAATCCTCCTCTTTTTGCTGAGGAAGATTGGCCCTGAGCTAACATCCGTGCCCATCTTCCTCTACTTTATATGTGGGATGCCTACCACAGCATGGCTGGTCAAGTGGTGCCATTTCCGCAGCCGGGATCCGAACCAGCGAACCCCAGGCCGCCGAAGCGGAAAGTGTGAACTCAACCACTGAATGCCACCAGGCTGGCCCCAGAATAATTAATTTTAAAATTAATTACAAAGATACATATGCCAATGAGTATAGTGGTCAAAGACAGAGTTTTGAGCAGGATATGAGCTCCTCTTTAGTCCCATCTGGGCAAAATAGAACTAGTTTCATAACAGAATTTCAAGTTTGGGAGGAATCTTAATTCATGTACCATCCCTGGCCTATAACAGATGTTCAGTAAACGTGTGTTGAATTCGTTGAACAAAGTGCCTCTACTTCACCCCATGAAGTGGTTGCCTAGCTTCTCCTCAAGTTTTCCAAATGAGAGCAAATCTATCACTTCCCAAAGCAAAGAGCCTAGGATAGTTCAGGCTGTTAGAAAATTTTTACCTCTATTAAACTGAATTCTTTTTACCTCTACTTTCTATAAATTGGTTGTCATTTGAAGAATGCTCTGAAGTCCACAGCTGTCTTCTCTTCTTCAAGCTAAATATCCTAATCCTTTCTAAGGGCCTCTACAGGACACAATCCCACGTCCCCCCACCCATGGGTCACTTTTGTTTTGTCTTGTTTTTGGGTAAGGAAGATTGTCACTGAGCTAACATCTGTGCCCATCTTCCTCTATTTTGTATATGGGATGCCACCACAGCATGGCTTGATGAGTGGTGTATAGGTCCACACCCATGAACCCCAGGCCGCTGAAGCAGAGTACACAAACTTAACCACTATGCCAGTCCCATTGGTCCCCCATTGGTCACTTTTGGAATCGTGGTTTGACCAGTTCAGATGGAGCAGGGCCACCGGTCCTCTGTTCTAGAGGCTACAGCCTTTACAAATGCCATTTGTCTGCCACTGCTTTCACTACCTCAACAGCTACTGCACATTGTCAACCCATGTGGAGCTTTCAACAGGGTTCGATGGAAACAGATTCGCCTCTGGAGCAGAGAAATCTGGGTTCAAAATCTAGTTTTGCCATGTACTAGCTAACTGTACTAGTATTCCATATTTCTCTTGTTTCCATGGATAATGTGATATCCACTTATTGTTGCAGTCTGATACTCTGTACATAGACCATCTGTCCCACTTTATCTTGAGTCTAGTCATCTAATGATGGAAAAGGGTCTAGACTATTTGGTTGGCAACATCCTTGACATTACAGCTGAATGACAACAACTAAGATTTATTGAGCATTTACTGTGTGCTGGGAACAATTCTAATCTCTTTACAGTAATGGCTCATGTGATCCTCATAATAATTCTTAAAAATGAGAATTAGGGGCTGGCCCAGTGGCACAGCGGTTAAGTGCGTACATTCCGCTTCGGCGGCCCGGGGTTCACAAGTTCGGATCCCGGGTGCAGACATGGCACTGCTTGACAAGCCATGCTGTAGTAGGGGTCCCA